ACAACCATCATTCACACATATTGTTTATAGTTGTATATTTAAGATCTTAGAACAATATTATTATTGTAATACTTGTTATATACTATCACTATTTAATTATAAATGAGAATATGTTTTATCTTTATAATCTTAATATAATTTATAATTATAGATATTTTATGTTTTAATTTTAACAAGGGTTGACCGGTTTTTTCACCCGTTGACCGGGTTAACCCTCCGTGTTCGGGTTGACCCTTGACCCGGTCATTCGTCCGGGTCACCCTCCGGCCCGGTTTTTACAACATAGCTTCTATTTTAATCAACTACTCCGAAATTATCTGTGAAATTGGGTTCCTATTATTTTTCTCTCATATACATAACTTCTCTTACATGATTTTATTTTATTAATTGATGTGTTAATGAAAGATGACAAAATTATAAGGGAAGAAGAGAGTATTACATATACGTGAAGTAGTTACGAATTTTGAATCTTAATTCTTCATTTGTTCAGTTTTAGTTGCTCTTATAGGATTGCTAAGTACTATAATGGTGGAGATGTAATGGTACTGAGGAATCCTTAGTACCATATCAAACCAGACTATACTTAAATGGATTAGATCGATCATACATGATCAAATTAAATTGAAATAATTACCCTACGTATGACCAAAACTTCTTCACTTTCTCAATCTATGACCTAACTAGTTTTTTACCAAAAATAATACTAAAATTCATATTATTTAATTTAAATTCGTCATTAATAATTAATAATTAATTTAGGTAGTCAAATATACCCTTTAGTTTCCACCTATAAAACCCTAACCCCTTACCCATTTTCTACAAGCCTAGACACAACCTCCCAACACCCAGCCGCCCCACCGTGCAGCCGGGCTACCGTCCAACCGCCGCCCACCGTCCAGCGTCGCCGCCATCCACAGAAACCAGATCTGGGAGGCTGGGAGCACTACATGGCTTACTGGGCCAGTTCTCCTCCATACCTATGTCCCAAAGCGCCGCCTGACGTCGATCTGTTGTCCGCCATCCATCCGCCGCTCTCCATCGTCGTCCAGTCGCCGCTCCTCATCGTCGTCCCAAATATGTACACTGCCGTCCCAGAGCAGACCTGCGCGCACCACCCCCGACCTCTGCGCTACCATCCTAGGTCGTGTACACCGCCTCTCATCCACCCCCAGCCTCCGCCCTAATGCATACGCGCAGACGCCGCCACCCAGCCATGCACCTCCGTTCCCTTACAACTAATTTCATCATCCAGAGGCATGGAGGCGCTCCAACTCACCCTCGCTGCAGCCCATTCGCTCACTTCATTCTTCTGCTTTTTTATTTTTTGAGATTAGGTTTTATTGAATTTAGGGTTTGTGGGCATTAAATATGAGCATTGAATATCGACAGTGAACATTTCAACGAGTGCTGAGTATGGGCAGTGAATATATATGGTAATTGACATGTTGTACATGGCAGTGCATGAATGCATTAATAATTTAGTTGTGCAGTGATTATGACAGGTATTATATTGCTGTTACACAAAGCAGTAATATCATCATGAAATGCAATATATTTAATTCAACGAAAATAATAAAATTATTAAATCTAAAAAACTAAAAATAAATTCCTCAAGTAAATGAGAAGAGAATTAATTTTGGCGGAAGTGCAATGATTATTACTGGATGTGCAGTAAAGCTGCATTAATGTCATGCATCAACGGCAATATAAAGTGCAGTAATTTTAATTGGACGAAATTAGTGCAAAATGCACATATTATTAATAAGGGTATTTTTGTCATTTAACCTTTAAATAAAAACGAGATTTATTTATTTATTTGGGTTTTCGGTCATAGATAAATAGTTAGGTCATAGATTGAGAAACTCATTAACAATTGTAAACTAGACATAGAGCATACATCTATGATTAGAATAGTTCATACTTAAAACGACTAAATCAGATTAGACCAAACTAGATCATAAAATTTTAGTCCAATTATAAATATTGGAAATATTGGAAATCATTCATCGACTAATTAGTGGAGTGAACAACAAAAACGTGACAAGGTAATGGATATATATACTTTATGGATATTGTTTTCTTTTGTCAACAATTATTCAACTCAGGAAATATTCCGTGGGAGGTAAACCGGACTAATTTAATCTTAATACCAAAAAAAAAAAAAATAAGCCCGAAACTGGTAGTGATTGGAGACCTATTGCGTTATGCAATGTCATTTACAAGATTTTTACTAAAGTTTTGGCTAATAGAACGAAAGGTGTGCTCAAGGGGTTAATTTCAAATAATCAGAGTGCCTTTGTTCCAGGAAGATCCATTGTTGATAATGTGATGGTAGCTTTTGAAACTCTACATTTTTTAAAACGGAAAAAGAGGGGAAAAGAAGGATATGTAGCTCTAAAATTAGTATGAGCAAAGCATATGATAGAGTGGAATGGAATTTTTTGGAGATGATTATGGGATTAATGAATTTTGATCTGTGGATAAAAATTATTAGAGAATGTATGGTGTTTGTGGAGTATTCTATTCCCTTTGAGGGGGATAGAGTGGGACCAATTCTTCCTCAAAGAGGCATTCGACAAGGAGACCCCTTATCTCCTTATTTATTTATTTTGGTGGCAGAAGGTTTAAGCGCCTTGATTAGAAAACATGAAAGATTGGGTAATGTTGTAGGCAATGTTCTAAAAGGCGCTAGGCGCTAGTCGGACGCCAGCCCAGCACCCAGTGCCTAGACGGTTAGGCGGGCGCCTAGTCGGGGACTAGTCGGAGACATATAAATTGCATTTTTATCTATATTTTTATATAAATATGATAAGTAATATTGTATTTTTGTGTGTATAAAATACATATATACATATACATTAACAAACATGAATGATAGAATTATCAAATTTAATCATACATAGTACATAGTATATGATAACTAATCACTTAATTTCATTATGTTATAAATATAAATAATGATAAAACGTAGGTATATATACAAACATATACAATTTTATCTTAATTCACAACTTCATTTCTTTATATCCATGGCTAAAGCTAAAGTACGTATATCGCTTAGAAAATTAAAATTAAAAAGTAAAAGTAATGTTCGGTGAATTAGGCGGGCCAATTAGGCGCTCTAGGCGGGCCACTAGACGCCATAGGCGGCCGACTAATTCACATGGATGGCAAACCAATTAGTCGGACTGTCGGAGCGCCTAGACGAAAATCGGGGCGCCCGGCCACCGGTTAGCGCCTAGGCGGGGACTAGTCGGGCGCCTAGAACGATTTTTAGAACAGAGGTTGTAGGGATTGCCATAGCAAAAGGAGCTCCGCGAGTGTCACACTTATTTTTTGCTGATGATAGTTATTTTTTAGAGCTCGAGATACAGAGTGCGAAGCGGTTAAGTCTGCCTTACTAACCTATGAAGTGGGGTCAGGCCAAAAGGTAAATTTTGTTAAGTCGGCTATTACTTTTAGCCCAAACTTAATTGATGCTAAGAAGACTTGGACATGTGATTTCTTTGGGGTGCGTCAGGAAGGGGATAATCGGTATTTGGGTTTACCGGCTCTGATCGGGAGACGGAAGATTGATATTTTGGGGTATTTAAAAGAAAGAATTTTGAAAAAATACGCAGTTGGAATAACAAGTTCTTGTCTGCAGCGGGGTAGAGAGGTATTATTAAAGACGGTGATACAAGCTATGCCAACATATGCCATGAACGTGTTTCTACTCCCTAAGGAGCTATGTTCAGAAGTGGAAATCCTTATGAACGGTTATTGGTGTCGTGGGATGGATTGTAATGGAAAAGGCATTCGGTGGTTGAGATGGCAGGCTTTATGCAAACCGAAAAGCAAGGGAGGATTGGGCTATAGATCCCTACGGGAGTTTAACTTAGCTATGCTAGGAAAACAAGCATGGAAACTAGTGGCTCATCCTGACTCACTAGTGAGTAAAATATATAAAGCCCGATATTATCCTAACTCTTCATTTTTGCAGGCACGTGTGGGGTTGAACCCCTCTTTCATCTGGAGTAGTATTGTGCAAACACAAGAGTTGATAGCAAAAGGGACAAGGAGGAAGATTGGTAGTGAACAAACAGTGTCGGCAAGGCCGTGCCTTGTTAGAGGCTGGTGAGGCAAAGGCCTCAGGGCCCCAAAAATGTTGAAAATTTAGGGGCCCATAATTCAAAATATCTTCCTTTTATTCATATGTATTTAAATTATAAAAGATGTGTCTTGCTTTAAATTCTATGTGCTATTATGCTTCAAAACTAAAATAGCACATCAAGCACCAACAAAGTGAAATGGAACGACTGAACATAAGTTTTGATATTTGAAATTGTAAAGATAGAAAGATTATGGCCCTAATTCGAATTTGTTTTGCATAATGAAAAAGATTTTTGTCTTAATCAGCGTGCTGAAATTGCTCCCGGGGTGATTTCAGATGCCATTGATTGATCCTCTTTTTTATTTTTGAAAATTGATTGATCCATGCTTAGAAAATCCAGCTTGTGTTTAATTTGGCATATTTAAACGAATTGACATGCACAATTAAACAATTTCAATTTTTTTACATTTAAAATTTAAATTGTAAGTAGGTTATGCACTCGTATTTACTAACATTTCAGTATGTATTACTTAGCACAATTGTTTAACGAATATTAGTTTCAACGTTTGTTTGACATTTTGTGAATTAGTTATGTTATCAATTGACAAGTAATTTATTAAGCACCTTGATTAATTTATATTTTTGCGACTAATATTGTTTGAGGGGTTATACTTAAATAGTTATTTTAAATACAGTTGGTATTGTTATATTGTGCGTAGTATTGTGTAAATATTTATTTTATTAATTACATTTTGATGTTTTATCTTTAGCTTCAAAACAAATTATACTACATATTTACATGAAATTGTAATTTATAGTTTTTTTCAAAAAAATATTTTATAGGGGCCTTTTTAAGAAGTTCGACTCAGGTCCAAACTTAGGTAGGATCGGCACTGAGTATCGGTGTGGAAAGAAAAATGGCTGTCAAGAGATGGGGACGGAAGGATTCACACTCCTCCTCCGAGGGGAATAAGTGACATGAACGTTGCTGCACTTATGACGGAATATGGTAGCCATTGGAACACCAAAAGAGTGGAGGAACTCTTTTCTGAAAAGGAGAGCCAAGCCATATTGGCGATTCCGCTAAGCAAGATTCGGAGGCTTGACAGTTTCTGGTGGCATACGGAAGCACATGGGCAGTATACAGTCAAAAGCGGATATAGAGCTTTACAAGGGGAGATTACTGCTGCTGACAGGCTAGAGTGGACTGCCATGTGGAATTTATTTATCCCAGGTAAAATTAAGCACTTCTTTTGGCCGGAGGCTAATGAGCGGGACTCTTCCTACCGCTAATAGATTGATTAAGAAAAGGGTGATCATGGGGACAAATTGTGTTTTATGTGGGGAGGAATTAGAATCAGAACTTCATTTGTTTCGGGATTGTCGTGCTAGTGAGGAGATATGGGCAATTGGGAATTAAATTTGTAAGGCTAGGTGATTCTCTAGACGAGTGGATACAAGCTTGTTTTAACAACTTCCAGACTGAAGAATTATGTTTGTTTATCACTACACTTTGGAGTGTATGGAAATCTTGCAATCAGGTAATGTGGAAGCGTAGGGGTTTCAATTGGCAGCAAGTTGTGGCAGCAGCAAATTCGATGCTACAAGGATGGAGGGAGGCCCAACTATGGAGCAGAGTTGCGGCACAGGACAGAAAAGGGACGGAGTGTTGGAGCAAGCCACCGCACGGAGTGGTGAAAATAAATGTAGATACTGCACTTGATTCTAGAAAGTGTAAACGGGCTTGGGGGTGGTTAGCGAGAGACTCAAATGGCAATTTTCTAAAGGGGGGAAGCCAAACTTGTATAGCTAATTGGCCGGTAAGTGTGACCGAAGCCATTGGAGTGCGGGAAGCTCTGGTGTGGGCTAAACGACAAGGTTGGTCCAGAATAGTGTTAGAAACCGACTCGCTTACGGTTGTTTCGAGATTGTTGGAGGAGGAAGGAAACTCTTATCTAGACATGGTTATTGAGGAAATTAGACGAAACATCTCCGATGGAGAAAATATTGAAGTCTATCATTGTAAGAGGTCCGCAAACAGGGTAGCTCATTCTCTTGCTCGGGAAGCCCTGGCAAAGGCGGATGAGTTTATACTTTTTAATTCCATTTCTGATTGTATTTTAAGCCATTTGGCTAACGATTGTTTGAATTAATTTGAGCAAGTGTTTTATTTCAAAAAAAAATTACTTTATTGAAGCATATTTTTGTTTTTGATAATAAAAATACGTATGTGATCTACATCATTCCACATTTTCCTACGAAAATTAAATCTCAATCACACTTTTTTCCTCTTTCAATCAGGTATTAATATGTTTGTAAAAGTGAACAAAACAAGTAATTTGGAAGCATACTATGCCCTCCCTGTGTCGCATTGGAGTGTGTAAGGATGTTTTTGTTTGGATTATTTTCAGTCTCAAATCATATCGGACTAAAACAAACAAAATTAGATCAGACCAAACTTGACTTCCGTAGTTAATAAATGCATAGAGATCATACGGTTACCAGACCAGACCAGTAAATTACGGTCCAAATAAAACATCCTAAATCTTTTATCCTAAAATTTTGTCATTCACTCTTTAAAATAAATAGCTTTTGATTCTACTTACTTCTCTCACACAATTTTTTCTTGGGTAAAGGGTCAAATAGACCCTTGAACTGATTTAAAGTGTTCAATTAACCCCTTACATAGGAGGTTTTGCCCGGCCGTCGCCAATTGGGGCGGTTCCTGGTGGAATTTTTTGATGAAATTTTTTGAGCATCTTCTTCATTAAGTCTAGTTTACTCATTCCAAATTTCAGCTAAAAATTCAACCGGGAAGGCAGTCAAATAATTTTTTGAAGATAACTGTGAAGTTAAACAGCGCAGTACATTTTGGAAAATCATTTGACTGCCTTCCCAGTTGAATTTTTAGCTGAAATTTGGTATGGGTAAACTAGACTTAATAAAAAAGATGCTAAAAGAATTTCATCAAAAAATTCCACCAGGAACTGCCTCATTTAGCGACGGCCGGACAGAACCTCATATATAAGGGGCTAATTGAACATTTTAAATCAGTTCAAGGACATATTTGACTCCTTTTTTTTCTTTTCCCATTTCACAAATACACAAAGATAATGTCCATGTAAGTGGACATGTTACTCAGAGTAACCGAGTGATAGACTCGGCTCACCTGCCTATAGAACTTGATGATCATGTGGACCTATGAAAGTCATGTTGTGCCATTATCTCGTTTTCGAGAACGTTCTCCGTTTTGCACTTGGGCAAGTAGGTACTTGCCAGCAGGCGCAAATGTGTGGACACAAATCGGTCATCATTACAGTCACATAATAAAACAGCTATCATTATTTCCCCTAATAATTTACGGAGTAAGAGAGAGTAGCCTAAAAGTGGAATTTTGGCAGTATTAGAAGGAGCCGTGCTTTTACACGCCTACAACCAGGCTTTCTTTGGTTGTAGCCGACTAGTGGACTCTGCCGCACGCCGTCCACATCTCATCCACCAACAGTTGTTGACTTTTTTCTCTCCAAGCTTTGACATTCGAATGTGCTTGATAAAATATTCCTTATATTTACCAAGTGATTTCGTACGACCGAAAGGAAAAAAGTAGGGAATGATGAATTAACACTTAAATCCTCATCATCATGATGATAACATTAAAGTAAAACGCGTACGAATTTGAACCGTAATTTGGTGATTTGGTCTGGTCTAATCTAGTTTGATCTGGTCTCAATTGGTCTAGTTTGATCTGGTAATGTCTAATCTCTTTGTAGATTTATCATTATCCAAGTCTGATCTGGTCTGATTTGGTTTGATCTGGTCTGGTCTGGGACTAAAAATAGTCCAAGTAAAAACATCCTCTCCTAAGATTTAGAGTTTGTGGTAACACTTAAATTGACTTAGTTGGTTGATTTTGATGAAATTTATTAAGTTTTTGTTGAAGTGACTAGATTGGATGATTCTGTTAATTTACAAAAAAATTATATATAAAATATATTTTATCAATAAAATAAAAAAAGATTATATGAAAAATAACTAAAATGATCTTATACACTAACTTCAACTAATACAGTAACTTTAATCTGAATTTTTTATTTATTATACTAACAGCTGTTGACTTTTTTTCGCTACGCTTTGATATTCGCATGTGCTTAATAAAATATTCCTTATATTTACAAGTGATTTCGTACAACCAAAAGGAAAAAGTAGGGAATGATGAATTAACACTTTAATCCTCATCATCATCATGATAACATTAAAGTAAAACGCGTACGAATACAGTGAGTGTGAGATTTATTCTACAAACTAGAAAAAAATCATAAACTATAGAGTCAGAAGTGTTTGAAATTTCATCAGAATTTATAGAAGGGGAAGGGACTTTTAAGTTTTAAGAAGTGGTGGTATACTCCGTATTATACTCCGTATGTTAGAGGATTTATTTTTTGAGGAGTTGGTAAAAGAACAACTCCGTGTCTCCGTACATTTTAGTGTATTTTTTTAACAACGCATACTCAATTGGTATTAATTATATCAAAGTTCAGAACACCCATGATATAATTAGGAGGATATACAAAATACCCAAATGTGGCAATCAAACACAGAACTTGTCACCTTTGTCAAAATGTGACAAAGGTGACAAGTGTATGTATTGTTATCTATTTAACACATTTGGTCTTTTCATATGAGTAGCACAATTCGCTGATCGTCAAAATGTGAGAGAAATCTAGACTAACGAAAGAAAGACATGTCTCTTATACTCTCTTATAGGAAGTATCTTCCACAAGTGTATTGTTATCTATTTAACACATTTGGTCTTTTCATATTGTTCATAATACTTTATGCAAAACATCAATACAAAGTGATAAATAGTTTTACGCACGTCTTTTGTGTACCTTTTTAACTTTAAAGTGTTCAAAGTGAATAGAAACACATATATGAAAACACTACTACAGAGTTTTAGATATTTAGAATATCAAATAATCCCTCCGTCCCAGGGAGAAGTTCCCACTTTCCTTTTTTGGTAGTCCCAACAAAAAGTTCCCATTTCTCTAAATGGAAAATTATCCTACATCAAAACAGTGTCAAACAGTGCAAAACAGTGCCAAACAGTGTCGAAACAGTGCCAAACAGTGTCGAAACAGTGCCAAACAGTAAAATTTACCCCTCAGTAACTTTATTTCCTAAATATGTGTGAAAGTCAACCCAAGAACTTTTCCCTGGGACGGAGGGAGTATGAAAGTATTTTTAAAGGAACAATTAACATTGCAAATATATAACTATTATCAATACGTACATTTTCTTTGTTAACTCCAAGTGATGACTATTTCATCGGACTTATATTGAATTCCCAAAGATTCCCCTAAACCTTTGAGAGAACTAAACCCAACTTGCTAGATCAATGGAGTGTTTGTAAAATGGCGTTAAAAATGTCGATTTGAATGGAACCGTTGAAATGGAAACACTACAAATAGCAACCGTCAGCAATTTGAAATATGGCTTTTTTGACTAATTGTTAAGCCTTAATTGTTTTTGACAACTCACCGACTTATTTCGCTGCTCAAATCCGCTGACTGAATTCACTATTCACAACTCCCTAACCTAATTTACTGAAGTATAAGCTAATCGCTAACAGCTAAATACCAGACACGCCCAATATTGTGTTAGATTTTCACCGTTCATTATTGATAAAAAATGACTAAAATATAGAACACCGTGGAAATTAAAGAAAGAAAGAAGCTAAGTCATTGATTTAATTGTATTCATCTATCTCTCACATTAGTCACGCCAACCACAAAATTTTTTGAGATTAAAGCTTGGATGTTGGTGTATCTCTTTCACGTCATGTGTTTATAATGCAGATCTTTGCATTGGAGCTACTCTAATACACACAACAACAAAAAATTAAAAACTGTTTGGTTGATCGACTATATCCCAAGCAATGATCGACTAATTTATAATTTATATCCCAAGCAATGATGAACTGTCGTACTTATGCCATATTAATTTTTTTATTCGATGCTTAAACTCAATTACACACACATGGGCTAGATCTAAACAAATGTTTATGATGATGGGCTAAAAAACTCAGGATAATATATTTTTTTCATAATTCTTTCAGTATAATTTGTTTAATTTTCCATTTATCCCACCTTGTAATTACATTAGACGGAAGATAACATTTCTTCAATCGTGTCAAACACTCAAACCTAACACACAACGCCCGAATGTTAAGATAATCGACATGGAAGCTATATGAAGCACTTTATATATATATTCTTCAAATCCTTATTTTCTATATAATCAGGGTAGTGATGAGACGTATAGATATGGCGTGCTAATACAGGGAATGGTTCCAATGAAAATCGTGTTTAACGTGAGAATGTGATAACCTTGCACTTATAAGCACAATTTGGTGCTCTATGAGACTTATCTTTACCACTTTTCAAACTTTGATCAAAATGTGCCAACATTAAATAAATGTTGTGGCAGATTCGTAAATATTTCAGCAGCACGAATTGACGAAAATGGGTAAGATATTAACGATATTATGCATCACATGTGCTTAAAAGTGGAGTTCTCACATTCTCACGTTAAACGTGATTCTCATTTGATCTTAAATCTACTAATACATTATACATACTTTGCATTTCGTACGTATTCATTTAAAGAATTTAAGTGAATATAGTTACTTAAAAATGTGGGCCCTCGCTGCATATTATGAGTATGTTTGGCACAACTAGCCAAAAAATACTTATGTGAACCTTTTAGAAAATTTTATTTTTTAATGATTGAAAAAAATCTTTAAAAAAAACGTTGTACTCCTATTTGTTTGATAAAAAGTTGAATGTTTGATTTAGTTCTGTTTGATATGACAAACCGTTGTGACTAAGTTATAATAAAGGCTATAGACTTTTCTCATATACTCCCTCCGTCCCATTTATATTGTCCCAGTTCTTATTTACTTGGTCAACACAAATCACTCTTAATTTCTTACTTTATATATCAAAAATTTATCAAATTTGATTCAGGTTTTTGCGACTTTGTAAACATTTAAATGTAGTTTCTGAATATGTAATTTTTTTTTTCTTAAACATAATTTGAGTGCGGACAGGAATCTGATTGCTTTATCGTCGGTCAAACATCGTAAACCGTAAAGAGACAATATAAATGGGACGGAGGTAGTATTAATCAGTGTACCTTCT